TCTATAATCAAAAATAAAATATGAACAGAAAAAATAAAAAAAATTTTTTACTCTCGGACTTGGTCTGAGATTTTACATTAAACTCACGTCAGACATAATAATACTTACCGACACATTTAATTCTCTAGAAATCTCACTAATATTCAAACCATCATTGTGTAATGCGATTATTTGTGCTCTTTCGTTAATGGATAAATTTCGGGGCATTGTAGTGTAAATTAATTAGGAAAATACCTACGGAAAATGCCGAGAAAATATTTGACATGAATTGTCAATAGTGATATATTCTTTTTCAGTAAAAGAGTTTTCGTAACAAAATAGTTTCCACTTTGAAGTGACCTACTTAAATTTTAAATTTATGAAATATTGTGAAGACTATTTGTTGTTGCAAATTATTATCTAATGCATAGGCTGCAAAGGTCAAAATAACATTTGTGCTCTACGACAACACGTCAGCATTGTGCATCTCTTTTATTGTTTGTATGCAATTCTAAGATTCGCCTTTAGCGATGCTTTAAAGACACTGGAAATGTTGTCAAAACTGGTAGACCACTTTCTTGGCCGACCGTACGTCATATTGTCTTTACTTAGTCGTAATGAGCTTAGAATCTTTGATCTTGCTAAAATACCTAAAACAAATATGTTCGAACTTATTCTCTTATTCCTCTCAGTGCTTCTGCTTAAATTTAAAACTAATAACACAAAATTAACACAGCTAGGTATTGATCAGTCTTTGTTTAATAAGTAATAACGCTCTTTAGGTAGGTATTTGGTCACTAGGAATCGTTTTCACTAAGTGTTTTAATTAAAAAATATGCCTTTTTAGATTAAAAATTGGCAGTCCATCCAAGTTGATGTTTAATGAAATTTGATCAGGAACATCAATCCAGTTTTGTAATATTTTATGAAGAGGACGAGTAACTCCATTATGCCAATAATGGCCCCCTTCTATTGTTTTAATATTTACTTCTCTGGGTGTGCTTAAAATAGTTCTGGGATCGCTTGGTAGTACGTTTGGAAATTCATTAGTGATGTTTGCCAACTCCCTTAACGCTGAATGAGTAATGTTTTGTTCTATAGCCCACATTCTGATTTTTTCACGATATGCAGACTGTTTCACAGAATCTTCAATTTCTTGTTCTAAGTCACTTTCACATTCTAAATCACTTTGATTTGAGCTATACGTCTCCCTTATAATATTAGTTTCAATAAAAAATGGTACGGAACCAACGCCATTATTTGAAGAACATTCTTGATGTTCCTGCTGCTGTTCTTGAGTTTTGCATATCGCCTTTTTAGCAGTCATAAAAGAATTATATTTTTGTAAAATTTTCCTTCGTGTTCCACCAGTCCTAGCTTTCGTTTTCGATAGCATTTTGTTGTTTTCAACCACACACGCATACGACGGCGTATTAATTCTATTAAAATTCTTTTACTCTTCAGGACGCTCTAAATTGCCTTCTTTTATTGCCTTAAGAATTATAAAAGAATGACAGTCACCCATTTAAAATGCCAGAATCAAAATGGTGTAACCCATCCATTCTACAGAACCTTTGCCATTTTCTACCTCTCTTTAAGTTCTTTTATAGAACTCAAGGAATTTAAAGTAGCCTAAAGCTGAATAACAGCATTAAAATTGATCCATTACTGTCCCATACACTAACTTTATTCGACTTTAAGCATTAAAATGGTTATTCTTACATCTTTTAAAATTCAGCATCAAAATGGTATGACGAGTGTCTGTTATAGAACCATTGGCATTTTGCGCCTACTCTTACAATTCTTTTACGTTACCTTAGGTATAAAAGTATGCTTTAAGCAGTAAAATGGCATTACAATCAGACAGAATTACACTAAATGCATTAAAAAGGCATTTGTTTTCTCCATTATTCAGCTTTTACGCAGCCTTTAGCATACGAAGTTAAAATGAATTCAATTTTACGGCTTTAGGATGTTGGGGAAGCCTCTATAAATCTTTTTTAATGCCTATTGCCATAATGAGGTCCACGTATGGATAATTATAATTCCTTCTGTGCTACTTGGGTACACACGTGGTCTGTTTGCTTGATGGCGTTCTTAAAAAGATTAGCTATGATAGCCATCTTTGAGAGCATCAGTGCAGGACAAAGCGGTCGCCATGGTCGAGATAGGATGGAAGCATCATCATCATTATTTTTAAGTCTTCCAAAATTTTTTTTTCTCGAGCTCGAGCCCCTATCGTTATGTTCATTCCCGTTTAATTAATATTGTTAAATAAAAACATAATATACTTCTCATGAGAATTTGTTCTATTTTCGATGAAAATAATTGTTAATATTTAAATAGCCAAAATCGCGCAAAAAACGCTCTTCTATGTAATGGTGCTGATTACGTGGTATTTGTACCGTCACATGCCGGTAAATATGTCATAAACAAATACAGAAGACAAATTGTATTTAAATTTTATGTTTTTTATTTGTATCTACTCTGGTTTTTTTTTATAAAAATGAGCTACAAATTGTATGTATAAATACAAATTTTTCGTATCTCTAATAACACTGTTTTAACATGACAGCTTCTGTTTACGTGTGAAATCACATACCGCTAAATAGAACCTGCGTTTTCGTCGTTCATTAAAATTCCTAAAAATGTTGCATTTTCTTTACGTTATTTTACTAAAGCTAAACATATTTTGTCTGCGGATTCTAAGAAATATACTTTACTAGCTTTTGCCCGCGACTTCGTCCGCGTGGTATAGTTACTTTGAGCAGCATTTCCAACGAATATTTATTCATTATATCGTGTAAAATACCTGAAATAAAATTTCATCAAAATTTTTTCTTAGGGGATTCCTACGTCATAGTAGCTTTAGGCATGCAAAGTCTCAGCCCGATCGGTTTAATATTGACAAAGTTTCATAAAAACTTTCAGCCCCTATTTTATCCCCTTGGGGGTAGAATTGATCAAAATCCTTTCTTAGGGGATGCCTACGTAATAGTAGCTTTATACATCCAAAGTCTTAGCCCGTTCGGTTTAAAATTGACAAAGTTTCATACAAACATTCATCCCCAATTTTATCTCCTTGGGGGGTAAAATTTATCAAAATCCTTTCTTAGCGGATGCCTACGTCATAACATCTAACTGCAAGCCAAATTTCAGCCCGATCCGTCCAATGGTTTGGGCTGTGCGTTGATAGATCACTATGGCAGTCAGTCACCTTTGAGTTATATATTGGGTTGGCACAAAAGTAATGAGACACACTAGAAAAATCTATGACATTTCCTTTTTAAAATCAATTTTTTCGATAATATTCTAGAATGTTGTAGAACATTCTAGGTACTTCTGGTGTAGGGTATATAAAGCCGCGCTCGCGATTTGTTTAGTCAGTTTGAAGAAAAATGGACGAACGACAAGTTCGAACACTATACTTATACGAGTACTTGTTAGGCCACAGTGCGCGGGATGCGGCTGACAATATCAACAATGCATTAGGCGCTGGAAGTACAAGCCATGCGACGGTGTCCCGATGGTTTGACCGTTTTAAATCAGGCGACAGGAGCCTTGAAAGTCAGCCACGCTCAGGGCGACCACCCGCAGTGAATGATGACGATTTGCGCCGCGAACTGCAGTTGAATCCGGATGCTACCACTCGTGAATTAGCGGAAGCACTTAAATGCAGTCACCACGCCGTGGAACACCATCTGCATGAGCTTGGTTATCGAAAAGTTTTGGCTCGGTGGGTACCGCACATCCTTACAGACGCCAGTCGTGCAGTCCGTGTCGCTATCTGTCAGTCACTTTTGCTGCAACCCCGACGTAAAGAGTTTTTGTCAGATCTGGTTACTGGAGATGAATCATGGATTTATTACGAGAACGATACACGTCGTGCTTTTTGGCTGCCTCGAGAAGAAACGCCACCAACTCAACCGAAGCCGAGTCAAAAGAACCGCCGAAAAATTCTGCTTTGCTGTTTCTGGGATGCGCAAGGCATACTGTTTTATGAGCTATTACACAATGAAACTATAAACGCTGACAAATATTCAACCCAGCTTACCAAATTATCTGCCGCTATCAAGAAAAAACGACGAAGACGAGTCAATGTAGTTTTACTGCACGATAACGCTCGACCTCACGTCGCATCTGTGGTTCGCCGGCAGTTGGAGAACTTGGGCTGGGAGACGATACCCCACCCACCTTATTCCCCAGACCTCGCCCCATCAGACTATCATTTGTTTAGAGCCCTGAAACAGCATTTGCGGGGTAAACAATTTAATGATTTCTTTGACGTAGAGGCGGAGTTGAACAACTTTTTCGAGGCACAGCCAACAGAGTTCTGGGCAAAAGGCATCCAAACTTTGCCGGATCGTTGGCAAGAAGTCTTAGATACTAATGGTAATTACATCATTGACTAAACTTTTTTTATTGTAATAATAATAAAAAAGTAAAAACTTAAACCAAGTGTCTCATTACTTTTGTGCCAACCCGATATATTTAGATTAGATTATTATCTAATAGGATGACTATAATACGCAACTTATTCAAATACTCTATTATGGACGCTTTTGTTTAAAACTGAATGGTGAAGAACAGATTTTTTTTAGTTTTAAGAGCGTGGAGTAGCGAAATACGCTCGCATGTCGGCGTGGCAACGAGCTGCTCGGTTTATTTTATTTAGTTTTAACTAAAATCAGAAAAAAAATATTTGGGTTTTAAAAACCGGATTTTAAAAGTTCTGCAATTCCGGTTTATTCGGTTATTTTCAAAGTATCCGGTATGCATGCCCTAGATTTTAACAAAATTATACGATCCAAAATATACTTCTATTTACAAAATTAAATTAATTTGTACGAAACCAAGAAAAGACCCTAAGAATTACATTTACCCCAATTATGTAATTATGTTTTTGGAGTTTAACTGTACTTGTTGTAATCGGTTTATAATGATTATGCGGCAAGTGGAAACAACTTATCTATGCGAAGATATGATTAAGATCCAATAATGTAGAATATATTTGCTTACAGATTCCTTTTACAATGTCTCGAAGACTTGGACTGCAGCTTGAGAAAGCTGAACTCTAGGCTGTTCGTCGTGCGTGGCCAGCCTGCGGATGCTCTACCAAAGCTGTTCCGAGAATGGGGGATCACTGAACTCACTTTTGAAGAAGACCCGGAACCTTATGGCCGTGTCCGAGATCACAATATTATGTCAAAATGCCGTGAATTTGGCATTAACGTTGTATCTAGAGTTTCGCACACCTTGTATAAATTAGACAAGTGAGTATTTATGTATTTATATAATTATTGGTAAGTATCTTAAAGTAGATGCTAGACGTGCGAGTAAGTACGCGAACTGGTAGCTTGACGACCTTTTCTGCTGTGTAATAATGTGTGTCAGTTTAAGTACGTGTACTTTCCGTACCTACGTAAAAAGGTCGTCGAGTCACAAGTTCGCGTACTTAATCGCACGTCTATCACCCACTTAAGACGTTTTTACTGTGATTTTAATGATACGAAATTAGCCAACAATTATTGCCATCGTGAATTGACACGTTTTAATATTTTAGAATCATCGAGCGTAATGGTGGGAAAGCACCTCTTACTTACCACCAGTTCCAGGCGTTGATTGCTAGCATGCCGCCTCCGCCACCTGCTGAAGCTACTCTCTCAGCACAGACCCTTAACGGCGCCACCACGCCAATCACAGACGATCATGACGATCGTTTTGGCGTTCCCACTCTCGAAGAATTGGGTTGGTTACCGATTCTGTTACTTATTTCTTTTTCTGTTTTTCGGCATCTTTGTTTTTCATTATGTCGTCGGTACCAAGCGGTCTGTACTATATAATAATGCGGTTTCTGTTTTTGTACATACCTAACGAATATACTATGTTTATATGAGTTCCTAAAGGCATAATAGGTTTGGTTGTATTTGTATCAACGCAATAAACTTGCGGGCAGAGGCGAATGCATATGAGCTTTTGTAAAAGTCGTTCACGATGCGATACTAACAAAGTCACAGCTAGGCGTGAGTGAAGTGATCCCAAGTAGACCGCTTCGCTCACATAAGGCATTTGAATAAAAGTTGTTGATTTAACTACTTTCTAAATCCACTGCTTTCAGATTGAATTTATAAGATATCGTAAAGATAAATTATCAAAATAATATAATAGTAAATGTCCATACAATAGGTAGCATAAATCTTTTACGGTCGGTTTATATTTGACGTAAGAAGCTTCGTGTCAAGTCGGTGGCGGAACATCATATCTGTCAAAATGTATGATAACGTCGTCACTTAAAATAAGCTCTTTATTGCAAGTGATACGCGGTATTTAACTATCCCTGACGAAATCCGTCGGGTATTAAGTTACACGTACTTCTATAAGACTCTGACCTTTCGCCTTTTAATATTGAAACTGTAGGGTTATGCCTGTGAGCTTATACAAGTGATTTGTTGTGAACATCATTTTTATTTTAACCCAGGGTAACATCAGGCATGCCCCCAATTAAACACAAAGAAGAGGTTTAAAGCATTTGTATTTTTTTTCAAATATGAGTCTCTAAAATGGCTCCTCTCCGCCATTTCTTTATTTACCATTTCCATACTTACCAAACTTGGCCAAATTTGGGCATATCGTTCGAGCCCGACTATGAATAAAGTCTGTCTGACTTAACCTAAATATAGGCATATCTGTTCAGTTGTTCTGCTATTAAATTAAGTTATAGTCGAGCATATAACCCTAGCCTAATGTAGCATACGCCGGTCGCTGCCGCGGTTACCACAATCGATGTTTCTTTTCATTTTTCCGAAATTGTCTAGTTAATTTTTTGACAGCTAGCTATCTTATTTCAGGATAATAATAAGATATTCCCATATCTAGGGTCTCGTAGTCCATGTCGAAACAAAAATCGTTTGAGAGATTCACCTCCGTGAATTTTTCATTCATATAAAGTGGTAAAAAGTGTCCGCCCTGACTTTTAAAAATAAGAAAGTGAAATATCCTAAAATTGTACAAATGATGTGACTCACTTGGCCATTTTTTTAGTTAAACGTAGGTTATAGTTATAGTTGTATGCAGGGGAGGCTTAACCTATAGTGCAGGGTGTGCAATGCACACGGGCGCCGTCGACTCGGGAGCGCCGCGAACATTTTGTTTCAACCAGGCCCGTCTTTACCCATGGGTGCCGCGCGTTGTGGGGCTCCACACCGATGATTATAGGGAAATTCCCTGTAATTGGGGCAGATCACTGCTTGCACACGGGCGCCTGTTGCTCATAAGACGGGCCTGGTTGTATGTTGTTCATATCTATCGATTTCATACTAATTTTAATTTTGATTAAAAATTATAAGTTTATAATTATATAAAACAGGATTTGAGACAGAAGGATTAAAACCCCCTGTGTGGGTTGGTGGTGAAAGCGAAGCTCTAGTAAGATTGGAGCGACATTTAGAGAGGAAGGCTTGGGTGGCATCTTTCGGGCGGCCCAAAATGACGCCTCAATCTCTCCTAGCCAGCCAAACGGGTTTGTCGCCATACCTGAGGTGTGTTGGTAGTATGTATAGATTCTCTCAAATTATTGCTACCGATAAATGTAGACACTGTTTAATACAAAAAAATCTTACAGGTTTGGCTGCTTGTCCACAAGATTATTTTATTATCAACTCACTGAATTGTATAAGAGGATAAAAAGAGTGCAACCGCCATTATCTCTGCACGGCCAAATTCTGTGGAGAGAATTCTTTTACTGTGCAGCGACCCGAAACCCCAACTTCGACCGTATGGAGGGGAACCCAATATGCGTCCAAATACCATGGGAAAGAAATCAAGAGGCTCTAGCGAAATGGGCGAATGTAAGCAATGAACAATTCATATAACTTTTACTTCTTGTAGCACACCGGCATTTTAAATGAAAAATTGTTTTCTTCTGTTGATTCCGTCGTATTTAAATTTTATATGTGCTTTTGCATTAATTAATGTATTATCTATATGAAATGAAATGAAATGAAAATATCTTTATTCAAGTAGGCTATTACAAGCACTTTTGAATCGTCCAAAAAAAATTTTTTTTCCCCTACCACTTGTTCAGGACGTCTTTTAGCTGACAAGAAGAACAAGCGAAAGAAACTTACCAGCTCTTTATCATAAGTAATGACATTTACATAAATCATGTCATTACCAAAATAATATGTATTATCACAATAATAAATACAACTTTCAAAGTCTGTAGGACATAGGTTGGACATATAATTAGTGTTTATAGAACAAAGCGAAGGCTATTAATTCCATGCATTGCGATCCTTAAAATAATCATCAACTTAATAATAGCCTTTACTCATAAGTATATTCTTTATATGAATTTGAAATTTATTTATGGGTAGGTCAATTACATTTTGTGGAACTCTATTGAACATACCTGAACATAGCAATGCATTTACCCAGAAATGATCCTCTGGTTTTTTGAAGTCTGAAGCTTGGAACGGCAAGTTTATTTTTATTTCTTGTGTTAAGATTATGAACACTACTTTTTTTTTGTGAAGGAATCGTAATGTTTTCGTGTGTACATAATATTCTCATAGATATTGAGAGGCAACAGTCAGGATATTTATTTCTTTAAATATTTCTCTGAGAGATTCCCTAGACCGTAAATTACATACAGCACGGACAGCTCTCTTTTGTAGAATAAAAATATCCTGAATGCTAGCCGCAGAACCCCACAACAATATACCATACGTCATTACACTATGAAAATAACTAAAATATACCAATCTTGCCGTTTCAACATTTGTCAAGAGTCTAATTTTCTTAACAGCAAAAGCTGCAGAACTCAGTCTACTTGACAGGCTATCAATATGAGGATCCCATTGCAGTCGGGAATCTAGTGTAATACCAAGGAACTTTGTCGATTCTACTAATTCTAAATGAAAAATGCTTAAAAATCCACTATGTCCCAGGCACTCTGAGACGGGACTCGAACCCATGACCTTTCGCAACCCGGGCGACTGCTCCAACCACTGAGCTACCCAGGGCCTAACAGGACTAACGAATATTTCAAGCCAAGGACTGGAATTTTTTTCCAATCCATGGCAATTTATCCGGGCACGGAACATCACTAGATGTGCCTCATTACTATATTTTTTTAAAGGGTCAAACTGGATTTCCCTGGATCGACGCAATCATGATCCAATTGCGACAAGAGGGCTGGATACACCATCTAGCGAGGCACGCTGTCGCATGTTTCCTAACGAGAGGTGACCTTTGGATATCATGGGAAGAAGGAATGAAGGCAAGCGAGAATTTCAGTTTACGACGTTGAATGTTTTTTTGTTATAATAGCTAGGAGGTAATGTCTTTTCGTCTTCTATCATTGAAGTTTATCATATAAACAAAAAAAGTCTGTATTTTGGGTGAACGTCAAGGTAGCAGGTACACCAACCAGTTTGATGGTCTTGTGTATGTCAATAAATTGTGAGTAAACAGTGACAATTAGTGACACATAGCTTTTAATTAGTGACACTCTAAATTAAGAGATATTGGAAGATCTTAGTGTGCTAACTGCTAAAGTGACTAATTGTGAAAGAAAGAAACTTCCATTTCACTTGCTTCAATAGAGTTCGAGATATTTGATTATTGGTGTGTCTGCTAAGTTGACGCTTAAAGCAACGGCATTTACAAACAAATGTGAAGGATTTTGCAGCTATACAAAAAACATTATGGTGATTGAAATTGTGATTCTAGTGATACATATAAACCCAAAGATTTCTTTACTATTCATTAAAACTAAAAAATATTTCCTCATACTAAATGTTCATGGATGCTTGCAATAAGGTTTGTAACGGATTCGATGCTTAGGCAAATTAATAAAAGGCTTATTTAGCTTGAGAATTTGATTTATTAAAGGGTAACAAAATAATATAATTAAAATAGTTAAATAGAATAATAAAAATGAATGATGTTAAAGATCAAAGACAAAAAAAGTTTACATGCGGATACCTAGGACGAAATAAATGGTGGTACGGCGCACCGTTACGGTTTAAAAATCTGAAGGATTTTTTTTTAAATTCTTTGGTAAAAGAAATAAAAAAAAGTTATAACTTATTTTCTTTCTATGACAAACTATTGCAATACGGTAACGTAAAAATCACGACTTTCCCAACACTTAATGAATTAAATTCTTTTATATTTTGATAGTTTATGTTTGTTGAAAGTACCTCTATTGCCAATAAAAAACAATAAAGTAGTATTTTCGCTATAGAATTTGTTTAATTGCTTTTTCTAAAATATTACTAAAATAAGAATTAGACATCCAGAAGTTAATGTTGTATAGCCCTTATCGAAAAAAAGACGGCCCATGTTTTTGGCAATTTCATCACTCAAAATTAACTTCTTATTTTTATAATTTCGTGAATATATCGAGTAGCGTTGGAAAAATTGTGATGGAGAGCAGTCATCATCACTGACAGATGACTGAACAGGTATCTGAGTACACAGTTGTGACTGGTGGTCAGATGACTGCCTGGGTTCCTGTTTAACTGTATTTATAAATTCTTTCTCAATATTTCATATGGCTCTAAAAGAATAATAGAGAAGAAATATTTGGGTTTATGTGTATCATGAGAATCATAATTTAAGTCGTAATTGTTTTGTGTATTTAATAGCTTCAAATTCCTACCCATTGGTTTGTAATCGCTGGTGTTTTAAGCGTCAAGTCAGCAGACACGCCAATCAGAAATATCTTGAATTATATTAAACTGAGTGAAATGAAAGTTCGTGGTATAGAAGTCACTAATTAGTCACAGTTTTTGGACATGTAATACGAATCGTAAGTGTACCTGTTACCTAGACGTCTAATTAGCAGGCACACTAAGATCTTCCAATATCTCTTAATTTGCAGTGTCACTAAATATATACTAATTCTCACTATTTATTCACAATTTATTGACGTACATAAGACCCTCAAATTCGTTGGTGTGCCTGCTACCTTTACGTTCACGTATTTTGGCTACATAGAATTTTTTTCTTTTTTCTATTTCTACTTTAAGCATTGTAATTTATGATGTTGTTTTATGACTTTTTTATATTTATTCCGGCACTCGTTTAGCGAACTTTGTTGAGGACGAACGAATGAAAAGATGGAGAATATTCAAACATTTTTTTTATATTGAAAAATACTTCCTCGTTTCTGCCAACGACATTCAAATTACGTCTTGTCTGATCTCTTTTATAATTATTTATTTTCAGATATTTGATGAACTGCTACTTGACGCAGATTGGTCAGTGAATGCAGGAATGTGGATGTGGTTGTCTTGCTCATCGTTTTTCCAACAATTTTTTCACTGTTACTGCCCTGTTCGTTTTGGAAGAAAAACTGATCCTAACGGTGACTTCATCAGGTAAACAGTGAATTAATTTGTACGTTATTAACGTTATATAAAAAAGACTATTAATAAAAAAGAAATGTTACAGAAAATGATAAATGAAATTTAAATGATTTACAGTATCGTTCAAAATATTAAAATATGTGTATTGATTGAATTTTTTACGTAATTTTTAAAATAATTAACATTCTACAGTCCATTTAATGGGTACCAGAACTGACAGTGTTCTTTTAAAATTCAATTTTAAGGCGATATATACCAGCGTTGAAGAATATGCCAACTAGATATATTCACGAGCCTTGGGTGGCACCAGAGTCGGTACAACAGTCTGCGCGCTGTATCATCGGTCGACATTACCCTTTACCAATGGTTGATCACAACAAAGCGTCACAGATCAACATTGAACGCATAAAACAAGTTTATGCACAACTAGCCAAATACAAACCACAAGGTAGAATCTATTGTATTTATTTTTAGTGTTCTGTAAAGGTTGAAGCTACACCGAATATATTGTGGATAATATATTTTCGATGGTGATTGTGAAAATTTGTTTGCAGAAGGTATTTCATGGTCCCATAAATTTTTGCAATATGACTCTAACCATTAAGCTACTCATAATGTTCGTTAGTCAAAAAATTAGAATTTTTACATGAATTCTTGACACATCAAATACACTTAAATATAAATCCATGACGAATTAAGAACAAATAGCCAAGTTACGTTTCGCACCCAGAACTATGTATAAAATTTAACTGTTTAAAAAACCGCGTTAACAGTGGCTCGGAGGACGGACGTGATGTCATTTGTGGTGTAAAAAAAAAAGGGATTTCAGTGAAAAATGAATTATATGCTATTTTATATATATAAACACACAAATAAATAAAACAAAAATGATCCTTAACCTGTTGAAAATTCAGTAATATTTTTTTTTCAATTTAAACGTTTCCAGCGGTTTTCCTAGATAGTTTTACTTCCACTTTCAGCACAAATGACGTCACGCGCTCTTTCTCTCAATTGTTATTTCGTTTGACATGAAATATAGACTACAAATATTGGAAAATTATATTTTTGTGTAATGATTTAAAATTATATATTATTGCTATTTAGCAAAAATATTCGTTGTACATAAAATCTTTTAAATTCTTAATATTATAAATCAAGTAACTTAAACGAGGTTTTATGAATTTATATCAATTATAATTGCTTGTTTCAGCTATATTGAACCCACAAATGTTGCAAAGGCCCAACGTAATACAGTCGTCACCTAGTCCGACTACTATTATAGCAAATATCAATCAATCGAATTACTTGTGCAGTCAAACTTCTGAGGCCCAATCCACAGCGACTGTACAAAGTTCGACTTTTAAAAATTCAAATGTGTTCCTACATCCCGGTAATAACAATTCGCGGCATGACCTAAAACAACCTCAATTCAAACAGGTAGTCATTGTACAGAAACAAAATAATACAAATCTTCAAAAGGTATGCCCACCGCCACAGTCGGATTATGTTATTAATGGACAAGTAAATAGTCCATATAAAAACAATGAAGATATTGAAAGAGTACAAAAATCAAGCAAGAGTGAAAACTATAACTTCAAAAATTTGGATATAAACCAGTATATACAGGATTATTCCAGTAATAAAGAAACATATCAAAGTCAGCAACAACGCACAGAAGAAATTTATCAACAAGATAAAGCCAATAATTTTGAATTTGTAAAACCCAAATTTTACTTGCCATATCCAAATAATGGAATTGTGCATAATAATCACGCGCACGAGACACCAAAAGACGGACATTTCACTCATGATCACAACTATGATAAAGAAACGAGTAATGAAGCGAAGAAGGATAAACAAATGCTTAATAATTGTATACAATAATTCTCAACTGTGTTAGATGAAAGGCATTATCATAGTTACAAAGAAATAGATCGACCATAAAAATAAATAATTGTAGATCTTTATACGAAAAATAAGATATCAATAAAACTAATTGAAATATATGAATTAAATTTATATTGGCGCAGCTAACTAGTTAAAACAGCCGTTCAATCGGCCCTTAATTGAGTAGTTGAACACGTTTTCCAGTACGGCTGGATAAATCCAACTGGTTATAATAATTTTCTTGCCAAGGCAAAACTTCAGCAAAGCTTTTTTTTTTGTGACGCTGAGAAATGCCTGACGCATACCCGCTTCACCCTGCGCGGGCTCCACAGGTTATGTGGGACTCCTCCTGCGGCCCCACCCCCGAAGGGGCTAGACAAAAAGCAAGAGTTTACCCACTAAAACTCAGCGATGTCCCTCGCATAGAACTATCGAAACTAGACTTAACACAGCGCCGGCTCGACGATGATGGAGGAATATATTGAAAAGAACGTTACGGCGGCTTTCAAATCAGCTATCCAATTGAATGTTATAAATGTATGAGATAATGAGTAGATTAGCCATGCAATTGAATGGGACCATTCAATTAAAGCTAGAGTATGGTAAATAGAGTCATTTCTGGAAATAAATATCGTCTTGTTGCAATGGACTGCTACAGTAGTCTTCTATTGAAAACTCATAATTTTTGTAAAATATAATGTTTGTGTCATCGGAATTGTATAGGTGTCAATGTTTCTGGAGTTATTACTGTAACTTTATGTAATTTTTTTTACCTTGACCTACCTATAAAATATTTGGTATATTTATTTATTCATAAATTAAACAAATACAATTAGTTAATATTTTTTTTAGTAATAAAAATTATGTCAACATTCTAAAGGCTTTTCATTGTGCATTATTATATTGTGAATGTCAAAGTAGCAGGCACACCAACGAATTTGAGGGTCTTATATATGTCAATAAATTGCAAGTATATAGTGACAATTAGTGATACATAGCGTTTAATTATTGACGCTGTAAATAATAATAATATCCATTTATTTTTCTCTTCACAATAGTAAATTATTAAATTATTATTTTAATTATACATACTTAAATTTAAAACTTATGCGAGAGACTGGAGCCTGTGAAAGATACCACAGGTATCTGTACTATATAACAGGTGTCCAGGCCCATTTTATGTAAAGTTGATAACAAGAAGTATTTTATATAAATAAAAAATTAAAAAAAAAACATGACCTAGCCCTATGCGAATTCTACGCTTAAGCTACGGATCGGTTATTCAGGCAATATCTCAAGACCACTATGTAGGTGATAGTATCTTACCAATATTATAAACGCGAAAGTTTGAGTTGTACGTATGCTAATTAGTCTCACCCAAAAACTTCTAATCGGCTTTCGACGAAATTTGGTGAACGAACTGTTCCAAGTCTAAACAAGTAGGTCACTCTTTATTCCATTATACAGTTTCATAAGCATCTCATATGTTAGATACTCATACTATTTTAATCTGATATGACTATGACCCATGCTAAAGTGGTATTGAGACTTAAGATCAGCTAGTTAACTACGAAATTGAGGTTAGAAGGTTTTCAGTATATCCTGATAATCTAATGTTTCTAAGTAGATAAATTTATCTTACGTAGTGTGTAAATTGTGAGAATTTTATTGTTTTAAAATGGTCTAAGAAAACAATAAAATTTATATGATAAAGTAGTGTGAAATTTTTATTTAAACAGTTGAATTCAATCTCCCTATGTTTTTTAAGAATTTATACAGATAAAGAATGAAGATCTGTCTTATGGTTAATATATCCCATAATCTATAAAAGTCAATATTTGGAAACCTGTATGGTAAGCTGGCACCAGTATTTAAAAATTAGAGGTATAGAAAGATCTTAGGGTGCCTGCTAACTAGACGTCTAGAAATACGATTCGTATTAATTCCTACCAGTTTGTTTGTAATTACCGTTGCTTGGAGCATCAACACTAAATTGATGACATGACGTGTTCAGCTCCTGGTCTATATATAAAAAAAAATTAAACAGTTGAATTACAGTTCCCGGATGCTTACCATATCGGGGAAGCTAAATTTTAGAGATTGATTGACTATGCATTTCTGACGATTGAATAAACTATAAGCGACAGCCCTGTATGTTTAGGCTATATCTCTCGCTCGGGTCTCGAGTGCACCTACTTATATATTTGTACTGTGGCACCGTCATGCGCTGTTTGCGGTCACGTAACGAGTATAAAACTATTGGTTTTTCATAACGATTGAAGTTTAAACTGTATTTGCATGTTGATGTAACATTTTTGTGTATTATTTTTATATCTAAAAATATAACCAGTCCACCTTCACAGAACCTATATGATCTACTAAATCTCTGTACATATAATAAATTCCAAAAACTTTTCAAGTCGACTTTTAGGTTCTCATTTATCAATCTGGGAAATAGCAGCGATAAATGGTTAAAAGAAACTCTTTTAATCAAATATCAAAATAGGCACAGTCACGCGGCTGCAATGACAAAATTATAACGAGCGCCAGATGCCGCGCCAATGAGTTATAACTTACATATTTTATTTATTGCTGAAGTTCACTGTTATAATTAAAAAAATATTAAAGTTAATGAATGCTAACTAATTTTATTGATACTTATTCACAATAAAATAATCATCATTAAATTGATGCAACTGTCTCCATATGAAGTTTTAGAGCTTTTTTAGCTTTTCTTGACTTTTCAACTGGTTTCTTTGGAATAATTTTTTGTTTGGTCTTAGTCAATTCATTACGTATAGTTGTCAATATTGAGAACTAAAAAAATTAAAACATATTAGTGTAAAATTTGAATTGATATTTATTCTAAGGCCCTTCTAAAATGGAGTAATTTAAAAGTGATGAAACTTATCAATAATTATTTATTCAATTAGAATATACTCAAGTTGCAAATTTACACTAGTTTCTGCTTGCAAAACCACCATATGTTGTTTTTATTCCTTGCAGAGACTCCTGCAACTCGATGTCTACCTATTTTACATGAGGAGGGTGTATGGCCAGAAATTGTTGACAAGAGCAAATCAGTAACTAGTAGTGTGGAGTCTAGTATTTAACATCAATATTATGGTACTAACACATGACCATTATGGAGCAATAATAGTAATACTCATTCACAATTTGAGTTTGCAACCAGTTCTTTTTTAGTTATTCCATATTAGAAAGGCTTTATTTACTGAATACTTACTGTTTGTGGCACATGTACATATCTTATATTGCGTGCATGTATAAACATATTTTCAAATGAATACTCATTTCCTTGGGAATCACAATATACAACATTTGACATAGAAATATTCATAAACCTGAAATAAATTGGTTTGTTTTAGTAACAAATTACTGTGAGTTACTTTTCATTTGATGATTATTGTATTCGGTTTTTACAATTTTAGACTTAATTCAATTTCAAAATTATCATCCTACAATTATCTAACCCGTCAACTGAAGAGATGATTCCGCAGACGTAAGAATCGTTACGAAGATCAATAACAGTGCTCTGGTCTTGTAAAGCTTTTACCAAACAAAGTAATGTATTATGATAGAAGAACTTTTCCTTTGCATTTCCCACAAACATTATTACTCTGAAACTAAATAATTAATAACAACAATTGATTTTAAAAAAACTGACAAATATAAATTGGTCACACAATCACCTAATCAATTAAAATTTAATATACCTTCTAATCTTCCTTCACTACAACTAACCTAGTGTCAGGTTTTGACTGAAGTGCTAATTCAGCTTTTGTAATTATCCACTGGTTCTCCCTCCTCTCTGCCCACATGTAATATTTACCTCTGTCTTTTGTTCCTGACACAGGGATAGCGAATCTAGCCGTTTGTCCGTCCGAGAAATTATTTTCAGTATCAGTCAATTTGAATCTTTTATCCTTAATTGGTTCTCCTAAATAATACACAGCACCAGCATTAGTCCTCAATGCTTTTAAAGCATTTTTATAATAATCGAAGTTTCTCACCCTGTCTATCAAAACCGTTTGCATATAAAATCCCGTCGAGCTAACAATAATACCACCCCAAGCTGCTATTTTCAATAGAGTCGTGGTTGATATTGTCATGTCAATTTCTTCAAAAGTTGAACAATCTTCACAAAATTAACAACAAAACATCAATAAAATAAACAAATATTTTTGTAACAAACTATAAAGGGACAAAAATCAAACATAAGTACCACTGTATGACTATCTATAGACTATTATTCTATGGACTATAGTTCTTAAATATAGCTTGGTCTCTGTGACAGATGTCAATGAAACCAACGAAGTAACTTTGAACAAGCGTCATGTTTACAATGTCATTTTGTATCACTTATATTTTTATTCTTTACGTATGGGTATTATCACAAATGAACTGCAATGCATTATAAATATAAAAATTCACCTATAACGTATTTCGTAAGTTATAAAACTACTAGCAATGACTTTATAAAAATGAAACGCTTACGCATTACAAGGTCATACTGGACTAACAAAAAGATAGAGATGTGACAGTCGATAAATGTAAATACGATAATCTTTAATGTAAATAAAAATCTATACTAATATTATAAAGAGCAAATACTATTATTTGTTGGTTTGTTTGCATATATATGCTTAAAAAAATAATATTATATGGTGATACAATTAAATACATAATCATTATTGTTAATAACATAAATCTATTTATTCATAAATAAAACAGTTGCATTCGTTACATTAATCATTGTGGCAGCACCATGCAGTGACGCCAGCAGCCATGTTGATTATTGTGCGTCATGTATCATCTCATGTCATTCTTAAATCAGTTTTTAAAATATAAAGAGTTCTATCGACAAAACGGATTATATCGTAAGTGTCACAGCTCTAGTGACAGCTGTCACAGAGATCAAGCTATATTTTAAGAACTATACCGATTGATCATCGCCATCTTTCATTCGTTTCATTTTCATTTTACATGTAGAAATAAATTTATTCACTTGACATTGGCAGAATTGTGTGAAATGCGCAGATAAGCCATTAATAAAAGAAGAAGAAGAACTATACCATGACTACCTAATGCTACCTACACTGGTATTATTTTTCTCTTTCATAAGCATAGATTATATAGTACTCGATTTTTTAATAAAACAACGAGAGCAGTAAAAAAGCACCTCCACTAGATGGCGATTCTAGCAAAAGTTGATTATTGGAGGAAACGAATGAATCAAAGACAATAATTTCCGTTCCTTTTAACTTACAGGGAGCAACAAAATGACCGACACAGCCGAAAGTTTCAAGTTAGGTTATATGCAAACGTTTATTTTATTTGACAAATATTTCAAAATAGAGAATGGAGTAAAAATTTTAAATTTCTAAGTGTTGAGAGCCCTAAGCACGCTCTTTTGCATGCCAGTGCATGCACGCGCAAAACACATCGAATTTCACACAAAACTAAACACAATCTTCACTAAACTAACCTTAACACTCAAGACGAACACTATAGTATCTTATTTACAAAAATTTAATTAAAAATGCACTAGAACAAAACAAAAATCGACAAAAAGTCCCTTCGAAGCGGTAAGGTGGCAGTGATGCAATAACGTGCCTCACGCGCAAATGTCCGGCGGTGACTGAAACAAAGGCGCCGACGCCGGTGGAACAAAAAAACCGCGCGCACGGTGAGTGAACGGAGTGAAGGAGACCGGTTCGCTATGCCTTTGATAACTAGGGACGAAATCAGTTTACCTATTTTGTTACCACGCTATTGTTATTGAATTTTCTTTTTAAATACATTTTAAATAAGTAACCAAACCCTTACTTAGTGTTGTTATGTCAATGGATGATGTATTAGTTTAACTACTTTAATAAATGATCGTGTTATTTGATCCATTTAGTTAAATTTTTTGGGAACTCTGACTATTAGAAATAATGTAAATTAGTTAACATTAGAATAATCTTTTTACAATGGTTTATTAAATGTTAGTCTATTAATTAATTTCAGCATTTTGAGTGATTCGTTTAATAATAGTCAGTTTGAAATTGTTAAAGAACAGTTATCTAACATTACTTAGTTTTCGTTTGCGATTTTAGTTTTTTGATGATCAGTTGATAGCAGTTGGATAAAACTAGGACTATTTGACTTGTGAAATTAAAGAAAAAAACGTAGGTTATTGAGAATAATCAGTAGAGATATTCTACTTTTTTCAAATCAGAAACCGGCTGTTAGTCTGTTAATCGATTTAAGCATTTTGACTGCCTTGTTTAGTGATTGTCTGGTAGAATTTGCATGAAAGCAGTCTTATAAATCATAAACTAGTTTATTTTATTTTTAGAAATGAAGAAGTCAATGACCTATTAAAAACTTGTTCCTTAGTACGTCCCAAAAACAGCCTGTCAACCAGGGTTGAAAACACTCATTTTTTTTCCAAAAACTTTGTAATTTAATATCTCCGAAACTATGTGATCTAGACATATAATTTTTTTTACATCATATGAAAGACATATAGTATTCTCCAGGAACCTCGGGAGTGTCGGTCGTTCTGTTCCACCGAATATTGGAGTGTAGATGGCTACACCCAAATATCACTTTCTCCGGTGTCACTTTTGACCCGAGAAACGTAACGTTTGGCGCAGACAAAGCATTCCTCGATCTAGTATTTTTTTGCCTGCTGCTTTTGAAGAAATACGTTCATAAGGTATGCTCTTATTCACAATAAGAAAATGTCTTATTGCCACTTTAAATAGATTGCGATTAGATTGGGAATAACACTTAATTTTAAAATTAGGTACAAATAATAATAATAAAAACTACTACAGAAAAAAAAGGGTTTAAAAATAATAAATAAAACACACGTAAACCTATCACATGTGAAAACACTGTTGGATGTTAAAAGAACAATGGCCATCTGCCTAACATGCTTGGACTAGTAAAATCGAATAAAACGTAACTTGATGAAACATATTTTATTTTGTTTGCCTATGCAACTAGAACAAAGAAAGACATTAAATATATTTTTAAAAGCTGGGAGTTTCGAGTAATTATGTAATATGTTTTTGAGGTTATGTCGTATTATTTAAACTGTAGCATTTTGAGTTAGAGGTATTACAGTTGAAATATGTAAAGCACACGTCAGATAATGCCTAATCGTAGTCCTAGAAGTACATACTTTCACATGATACTTCAAACTTGCTCCATATCTAATATATTATTTTTATTGACTGTAAGAAATAAAATCATTTTTTGTGAACCAATGAACATCAAAAAACATAGAATTTTTAAGATTGCTCTCAATAACTCTCCTTTTCTATCTTACACTATTTCTTATATAAAGTAGTAGTGAAAATACTAATTTCAAAAGGATATAGCAAAGCAACATGTTGATTTTATTTTTATTTATTACAACTCTAATGAATACCTCATCACGGAATGCTGCAGGAGCAGCTACATTCTGTTCGTGTCTGGCCCATCCAAGATACCAAACTATTGTCATTATATGAGCACAGCATAGCAGTGTAGATCGACCAATAAGACAATTACAGCAGTGTTCTCTTATGCCATCTAACCCGGATGTGTCATTATTTTTTTAAAATGGACACATAATATTGTTTCCTCCCTATGTCTCGACTTAATTCTACCCCTTATAATTAGGACTTTATTTATATTTCAGTCTAATTCTAATAAATCCAGAGAATCCGGTATTTCTCTCCAGACTTCAATTCTCTACTGCATGGAACCTAGTATGCTCCCCATAATACAGAAGATAATACAAAATCACCGCCAAAGTTACAAAACAGTCTGCGTAGAAACACGTTTACACAATCTTGTCTAAAAAGGGAGGTCGCAATCGATTGAATACTGTAATATCGATTCTTATGAATAATCATTTGTTTTTAATTTCATTATAAATAAACTATTTTCCTCTGAGTAACATCTAATTATATTAGTAATCTAATCTAAGTTTTATAATTTTCATGTATTTATATGATTAGTAAATAATATAAGATTTGTATCATATTCGATTAGTCAGAAATAAAATCGATCTTGTTTTTTGAAAAGAGAGGGACTTCTCTAGAAATGACATTATTAATAAGATGCGTTCAAAAATAACATAATTTAAACTGCGTTCTAAAAAATAAAGACATATTTTAGAGAGGATTATCTTTCTTTTCCCAGCTTTTAAAAATAAATTGTTGGTATATAATAATTACGTTCAACTTATATTACATTTTGGTGATAGTTCCATCTTGGTACAAGAACTTTTTTTTTCGTAGTCCATTTTGACCATTGTTCTTTGGACAACTATCATTTACTCTTAGTATTTCATTCGCTATTAGATTACGATATGTTGGGTGTATTCGATATCGATATGGCTGCTTCTCCGATAACGATGTTTTTGGACGTCGATATATCGTTGCATCTCTAACAATTTATCTCTGACTCTGAGCTAACCAGAGTAAAAGCAAATATGGAGCTAACTAACTAAATATGGAGGTGGACTCAGTGTTGCCACCTTAGCCCTTTTGGGGCTAGATCTAGCACTTTTTATTGCAGGTGAAGTCTTTGTTTAATTATTTAGCCCGGAAAGGGCTATTTAGCCCTTTTTACATTTGTGACATAGATATTGATGTTTGTAGATAATCCGTTGAGACCATTTGTTCGATTATGGCAACATACCGCATTTCTACGCCGCGCCGGTCCGGGTCTTCCCCGTGGAGTCTACAGAATCGGGAATTCCTGGAGCGTTTTCTTTTTATAAACCGACTAATTTAAGATGTGTATCAAAACACTATTTTTTCATAAGTTGATATATCAATTGTTTTTGCAATATAAAAATAATATGAAAGAACATTTATTTTTCCTTCATTGAAAGTCATTCGCCTAAAGTTCATCTTTGTAATTTGAGGTTTTTCATAGAACATTGTAATAGTTCGAGTTTTTCGTCTACAAAGTGAATGTGTGTGAACATTTGAAAGTTCTTGTGCTTGTAAGTATTGAATAACTACGTAAGATGGATTTGCCGGTACATAAAATAACCACATATAAGCAACATTACAGAAAGGAGTGGGAACTGAAGTTCAAGTGGTTAAAACCAGTGCCAGGTGATTCGTTGAAAGCCCTGTGCTTGTATTGCAAAATGGAATTATGTGCAAAATTAAACGTCATCCATCGCCACAAGGACACAAAAAAGCATAAAGATAAGTCAATTCCCTTTACGTCATCCTCACAAACAAAAATTGTTCTGGAAAAGCAAGATACCATCAGTGCCAGTAAGTCTGAAGCATATCTTAGCTTATACATAGCAGAACACGCCTCAATTAATAGTGTTGACCACCTTACTGATTTATGTAAAGAAATATTCAGTTGTGACTGTCTGAAAGGAGGAGCAAATAAAATCCAGATGCATCGCACTAAATGTACCCATATTATAAATGAAGTTCTGAGTCCGTATTTCAAAAATTTACTGATTAAAGATATTGGGTCGAGTCCTTTTAGCCTGATACTTGATGAGTCTACGGATGTGTCTGTCACAAAACAGTTAGGAGTGGTGATTAAATATTTGAACGGAGAACGCAACGAAATAGTTTCGACATTCCTAGGTCTTCAGCAATTGACTGCTGCAAATGCCAGATCGATAGTTGATGCCCTTATCAGTCTCATTAATGACTTGCAATTAGATATTCGAAAGCTAATGGGAATTGGCACCGATAATGCCTCTGTGATGGTGGGAATAAATAATGGTGTGTTTCAAATTCTCAAAGAAGAATACAACTTACCACATTTGGTTTTAAATAGATGCATTTGCCACTCCATACAATTGGTTGTATCACACGCTTCGCAAGACTATACATGAAACATTGAGTTTTTAATCAGAGAGATATACAATTGGTTTTGTCTACCCCCATCAAGGCAAGATGCGTACAAAGCAATTTATGAAACCATAAATGTGGGTGAGAAGCCACTGAAAATTTTAAAGATGTGTGCTACTCGCTGGATTTCTATAGAGCCAGCCGTAACTCGAATTCTTGCTCAATGGGATGAACTTAAACTTCATTTCCAAATGTCAATTGTTACACAGCTACAATACTGCATTCGATGTTGCAAGATGAGAGGAATAAATTGTATTTAAAATAGGTGCATAACGAAGTTCAGCAAATATTGAAAATATTTGAAGGCAAAGGTACAGATCCGGTACTACTCCTAGATGCGCTGAAACGACTCATTGAAAGTTTATGCCATAAAGTTATCAACCCAAATTCCCGAATAGACTATTTTGTTCAACAAGTCAAAGATTACGTTGATCTGAACCCATACATGGGATACATGTTTGAAAATTCTTTAAGTAAATCGAGTCTAGAAGAAACTGAAAAGCAAGCACTCAAACGAAGATGCATTTATTTTACTCTGAAACTAATAAGTCAATTACAGCAGCGTCTGCCAAGTAACTACAAAAACCTAGAGACCATGACAATTCTTTCTGTTAAAGAAACATTAAAAAAAAACAAATCTGTACTACCCATCGTTAAACTTGTTGAAGTGTTCGGTGTGCAGCCTGAAGAAATTGATAAAATTTTGACACAATATAAGCTCATCGCTAACCAAGATTGGGCGAATAAAGAAGACAGCGTAAAATTTTGGTGCGAAGTACTTGTTCATAAGGATGCCGCAGGAAACATGTCATATCAGGAGCTTGGAAATTTGGCCAAAGTTATTTATCTTTGCCACATTCTAACGCCGATGTAGACCGTGTCTTCAGTTCAATGAACTTGATCAAAACTAAAACGAGAAACAGGATGGGGTTGACAACAATGACTGCAAATTTAAATATACGATGGGGATTGAAACGACTCAAACAGTCTTGTTTTCTCATAAGGTTCCTAAGGACATAATTGACAAATGTGGTAGTAATTTGAAATACACTTTCAAATTATTGAAAAATACCACAGGTTTAAATGAGCCATCTACTTCTGCTCCGCCAAAGTAGGATTTAGAGGATTCAGATGAAGACTTTGATTTTTGATTATTTATTGGTATTTTTTGTGAATGCTTTTTTGTTCATAACAACATAAATACTTATGTTTTAAATTTTAAATCTCTTTAATTTTGTTTTGTTTTGGCTAATAATTACTTTAAGATGTTAAACCGGTTAGATTTGTTGAATTTTAATTTAAAAAATACATCTTTATTATTTTTAACTTATTTTTTTATTTGTAAACTTTTTATATAGAATAATTTTAAAAATATTATTATGTTATTCAAACTAAAAATAAATACATAATTGAAATCATTAGGAAATGTGTTTTTTTTAGCTTTTACGCGGCAAGTTTATTTTTTTTTGTTATTACTAAAATAAATACAGATAGCTCTGCATTATTATCCATCGAGCTCAAGATTCTAATAATACATATATAAAAAATTATTTGTCTTACTTATCAGACAACAAGTGCCATCTGTCAAAGGAAAAGCATTATAATTTCACACATGTCCTTCATAAAAAGTTTTTTGTTGGTAATTTGTGCTCCATGGCTTCATCTAGCCCATAGATTACTAATATGTAGGCTACATAGCTAGCCCAAGGGAATGACATGTCCACCCTCTGTCCACCATATTCGATTTCACCTTGACAGCCCGATCTAGCCCTTTTTAGTTTCTTCAACTGCCCCATTTCTAAAATTGAGGTGGCAACACTGGGTGGACTATAGCTTGCTACATAGCGATGTGCCGAGTCGATGTTTTAGTGGATCGAGTCGATTCGAGTCGGTTTATACGGTATTCGAATCATGACTTGATTCCGCGATTCAAGTCAGAACTCGAGTTCTATGTTTGGTATTCGAATGTTGACTCGAGTCCAGGACTCGAATCAAGAAATTTTAGTCATGGGTATCTCTTACTTCCTTAGTGGATAACGTTAAAGATTTAAATATTTTGTCTTCAATAATGAAGTGTTTCGTCCGGGTCATATAGCTTTTGCTGCTATCGGAGGTCCACAAATCTGTTGTCAAAGCAATATAATCGGTTGCTTTAATCATCTCTTGCGTAGCCTTTGTTGCGATTGAATAATGCTCCGGAATCAATTTTTCCGAAAGAGTTTTCCACGAAGGTAGCTCGTAATTAGGGTTTAGCATACGAGTATACACTTGAAAACCTTTATTTTCAACAACTTGAAGCGGTTCAAAATCAATGCATATCATTTTCATTAACTCTTTATCCACATTTTTAGAGTTCATCTTCAGAGCTTGCTTAGAGGGAAAGGTCAGTTGCAATTGTCGCTTTCGTGATGGTGGTGTTTCGCCATCCGCATTAAGTGGCGTTTGACCTCCGGAATCAGAAGCTTAATTTACATCAGATTGACTCTGTGCGGAGGTAGCTGAAGAATTATCAATGTGACTCGAGTAAATGATAGGATGAGCTTTTTTTAGATGCTTTAATAAATTAGTCGTATTTTTAAAGTCTTTAAATACTGAATCACAGTTTTTGCACTTTATTTTATCACCGTCCACTTTCTCAAAACACTTCCATACAGCTGAGGCTTTTTTCGGAACCATTTCGTTATAAAGTTAACTAAAATAAAATCACTTCACTATTAATACTAATTAACAATTAAATTAACCTGTAATTTTTGTTTTAATTTCTTTGTTTTGTGTCAGTAAGCTGTTACTTTAAGCTTACTCACACAAAACAAAGAAATTAAAACAAAAATTACAGGTTCAAACTTGTACAATAGGGCGTCACTTCATTGCTTAAGTAAACAGAGACTCGAACAAGCGAGTCAACCTTACTCGAGAACTAGACTCGAGTCTGTTGGACTCGCATAATAGAATCGAGTCAACGAGTACAAAATCGATTTTTCCTGACTCGAGTATCGGAGTCGAGTCCGGCGTATTCGAATCAAAATTAATTGGTATTCGAGTACGCGAGTCCAAAGCAGGAATCGAGTCTGACTCGAGTCAAACCGTACTCGGCACATCGCTATTGCTACATATTTAGTAATCTGTGTAACTAACCTCAAATCGCTCAAAAACATTTGCTTTGATCAAAGGGAATTTGTGATTGTCTTGTGATTTAGAATTTGTCTTAAAGTTTGTGAGTAGAGTTCAAGCAATAAATATTGAATTCTCTAGGGTTTGTTAAGTTTTATAATTTATATTATACTCTGACTGAACCCTTTACACCGCTTTTCATCTGACCCCATCTGATTGACATGAACATACTCATTTAACATTGTTCTTATCTGTTTAACAATGTAATTTTAAATTTCAGTAACAAATAATGAGCACATCAAGGGGTAATACATTTAGGAAGAGACCCCAAAAGTATCAGAATAAAACAGCATTTAAAAATGATTTACATGATACAAGCCACAAAACAAAATTAATGAATACATTAGAAATAACAGGAGTTTGTAACAGATGTAAGGATAAAATTGAATGGAAAATCAAATACAAAAAATATAAACCACTTACTGCACCTAGAAAATGCACAGATTGTCAACAAAAAACAATCAAACATGCATATCATTTATTATGCAATAAGTGTTCGACAGACAAAAAAGTATGTGCAAAATGCTGTAAGTCTTTAAATGTAAGTATTCTTATTACATACTAGATACAAAGAGAAACAAAAATCAATAGACATATTTAAAATTATTTAAAGATTTTTCGAGCTGTGCTATTGTCATTTATAAAAATAAAGTCAACCTTGTGATAAGTGTGTTATTATAATATTGTAACTTCATTTCACAAACTCAACTGTAGTTTACTTACTTAACAGTGCAGTCAATCAAATGTTTAAAATGTAGTTTGAAAAACATATAAATGCTGGAACAAACAAGTAGAGGCCTACAAAATCAAAATTGTTCTTCAGAATTTAGTACTTATTTATTTTTTGAAATAAAATAGTTACGAATGTCAATGGTAATAAAAATGGTAACCCTAAATTGATTAAAACTGTTATCTGCCCATGGTATCCTTTTTAAAAATCCACCTGAATAAAAGTGTACTGTTTTAAAATTTTTAGGATATTCATTTAGAAGATGACCATGTTGCTTCAGATATTCAAGCAATGTTGAAAGGTATTCCAGAGAGAAAAAGGCGTACTATTTTAAGGTGATACAATTTTATTTAACATGTGGAATTTCTTTCAAAGCTTTTGTTTGCTTCTTGCCCAATTCTCCCTTCAACCCAATAACATCAATCATCTGTTTTAAGTTCATAAATCACTAAGTTTTAAACCAGTTTCATCCACACAAAATTCTTTACTTGATTTTAAAATTTAATGCGTTGAGGGTAGAATTGAAATTCAATTGTGAAAATCTGTTGTTTATGGTAACTGATGTGCTTCTGTGTGTAAAAAAAAATAACATCCAAATTAGCTTTAATTATAAATGTAATTTTTAAGGACTTTGTGATTTTTTTAATTGTGACACTATTTCTGATGTTTTTACAGGACTGCTTAAAAAAATGTGTGTTTTGTGTTTAGGGTTAATGTATTAGGGGTTAAAGTATGTATTAAAGTATGAAATTGCTGTTATTGTAATAGGTTCCTTGAATTGACATAGAATCTTCGTGGTTTGAGGTTTTCAAAAGATTTTTTTTCACATGGTTTCTATGATGTTCTTCTTTTAAAAATCAAGACTTTCAATTGTTTTTGTTATTCAACTTAGACAAGAAAGATGGATTCTGCGAAATTTCTGCAGAAGTAACGCAGCAGAAACAGCCTGCAATATTGATATTGCATTTGGAGAGGAGTCTGCTAATGAACGTACTGTGCGATTTTGGTTTAAATGTTTTCTTCGTGATGGAAACTTCGACTTGAAGAATGAGCCAGAAGGAAGACTGCCCCAGGCTTACCAATTTAGGGCTTTTAGCCCCAAATTTAGGGCGGAAATAAACTAATTGGGCTTTTTTTGGGGCTCAAGAAAATACAGGGCTAATTTTAGTGCCAAAAAATTAAATAAGTTAGTAATAAAAAAATCAGGTAATGTCTAAATTACCCATTAAATCTTTTTAATTGGTTTTAAATAGATTAATCAACATCGTTTGCAACATACAAAAGAACTTTGTTTTCTCTTTGAATTCAACAATTGACAAAATATTAAATTATTTGACAAAACAGGCAACAATTGTGCATTATATAGAAGCAAATGTTTAGCTGGACGTGCATGTATGTCTATATTGCTATGGCTTTAATTTGAAATTTTCTAATCTATTTTCATTTTCTGTAGTTTTAAGCTATCAGCACAATTATAAAACAATGGGATGGAGCAGCTTCATGATATTATAAAACGTGTACTGTTTAAAGAGTTGTTGTTATTTTTAAGAGATGAATTGAAAGAAGTTATTCAATTGAATGTTATTTTCCAAAGTGACAAAGTAGAACCTATAAAATTATTTGAAGACTTGTTTTTAAGTAATCCAAGCAGGACAGGACTTTTTTTTGGGGCTTTTGATTACACCATTCGGGGTTATTTAGGGTTATTTGAGTTTAGTTTTAGGGTTTTATTTTGTTGGGAGTAAGGCACAATATTGACTCATTTATGTGAAATCAAATAAAAAAAATACGAAAAATGGGTGCCTCATGATTTGACTGATTTGCAGAAAGAAACGCTTGTTGAAATTTGTGTTGCCTTGTTGAATCGATACAGAAATGAAGTAATATTGGATCGATTTATGACATGTGATTAAAAGTGGATTCTTTATAATTGACCCCAGGTCAAAAGTCACAACAGTGTCCTAAAGCAAAACTTACCAATAAAAGGTAATGGCAACTGTTTGGTGGTCTCAGCATGGTGTTCACTATAGGTTTCTTCGATCTGGTCAAGCAATAACGACAGATGTGTATTGTGCCGAACTCCGAAACATGTTGTCAAAACTAGCAGTAAAACAGTCCTGACTAATGAATCGATCTTTACCATTATTGATCCATGACAACGTGAGACCTCATACAGCACGAGAACCGTTTTGACCCTTTAGGAACTGCATTAATAAACATAAATGACCTTCCTATTAGATGGCAGCAATGCATAGATAGTATTGGTAACTATTTTGATTTTCAGTACAAATCGGGAATTTCATACTTTAACCCCTATTATTTGTGTACGTGAGTTTCTTTATTCCACCATAGCTTTGGAAAGATTTATCTCATTTATAATCATTTCAAAGTAATTAAAATTTTGGTCTATGCTAGTAGTTTCATAGTATTGTTGTCTTAACTGTTTGGATTTAGTAAAAATCTAGTAAATTTAGCAAAAACCTTGGATCAAATAATACTCAAACTACTAATGATTCTATATTTACAGGTTCATTAATAAACATCAAAAAGATCAACAAGGACTTACACCAGAGGTAAAAGCAGAAGTCGAAAACATTTTACGTAGTATTGATAAGGTGTCATTAGAGGAAGAATTTGATGATTTTTCTAGTGATGAGGATGAGGACTGTCTAGATGAAAGTGATTCTCATCATGAGTAAAATTAATTTCTATCATTCAACCGTGCTTTGTTATCTATTATGAAATCACTCCTGTATAACAAATAATTCTAAAGATACTGTTTGATGTTATTAAAACATTTATTAACGGTTTTAAAGCATTTTATTTCTGATAAACTTTGAGAGGATTAGACCTTTAAACAGACAAATATTTCATTTAGTATGGCATAATTGTAAGTTATCAATATTATTATTGTTTGTTAACTATGATATTTTTATATGCTTATTTGCCTGACCAATATTATAAGCAGAATAATGCTTAAGTAAAAATGTATAAAAAATATTTTGTTTACAAGAAATCAATTTGACCATAAAATATCTAAAAGGTTGTTTTAGAAGTAATAAAACGAATAAGTTTATTTAGTTATTTAATAAAAGGTATTGTACAATATGTATTAATTTAGTTCGTTCTAATACAATTAGGTAACTTAAATAATTAAATTATGTACAAATAACGATTTATTTATCTTTCATAATCATAAGTTACTTTACAACAGAGATAATTTTAAAGTTTAAATTATTAATTTTTCTTATCGTAATAAATAACAAAAGAAAAAGTAAAAATGGAAAGAAGCGCCACATAGACCTTTGCGCCAATAACTATCTTAAATTAACTCGCACAGCTATAAATTACTAAACGGATACCAATAGATAAACCAACCAACCAACCAATAGATGCATTAATTTTTTAAGTAAATTCTTTTTGAAAAATATAAATTTGTATAATGTTGTAATATCAATATAGCAACGGCAATAAAAAGTTTATTAAATACATATTCTGTACATTTGAAAAGATTTTTTACACACTATAACCAGTTTTTGAAATAGGGATTATGTGCTACTTGTATAATAGTAAGTTTAAGCTTACACAAAATTACTATTACGCTGTATCTATTGGGGGGTTATCTGTAAAGTAAAAGAGACAACACCATGATTTAATATTAGTATGAACAGCTTAGGAGTCTCTAGACGCAAATAATGTGTGAAGTTTATAAATAAAACGAGAAAATATAAAATTTTCTCGTTTGGCCACTAGAGTCGACGTTCAGTGTGAAGTTTCACAGGTGTTCTTGTATAATTTTTCTTTTTACAAAATGGTGAATCACACAACCTTTATTCTAAGCGTTATCGTGAACAATACGAAGTCGTATTAATATAATACTCAATCAAATTGATCACTTTAAAGGTCCACATGTTGTATCGTCCCCTTTTTCTTTTAGACTAACTAATCTAAATTGGACCATTGACAGAATGCTGATTTGAATGTTAGATATAACTTTGAAACACCAAAAAAAATGATTTTGAATATAATAAGTAATAATTTTCATAAATATTTAAACAATGAATTCATATTTAGATTATGGACAATTTATTTACATTAAAATAACGATTTTTTTTTCTTTAACAAGTACATATCATTTCACTCAGTAAATTTAAATTATGTAATAAATAATCACTATTTTCCTGATTTTTGGGTATATTTTTAAGTCGAACATTGTATCTTACTACGGTTACTTTTGCCCATCACTAGTTAGACTTCAATGTGTTAAACGTCAAATATACATTTTCTTGATTTGAAACCTTGTAATAGATTTTGACATGAGTCGTAGTTATAGAAATCATCTCCGCTTATTAAAGAAATAACAAAGTTTCATAGACTACACACACATGGTCAGTTAGTGAATACAAACATGAACAGATATGCAGCGCTGGATTAGCCACGTAGCAAAAGTAGTAAATGCCGTAAAGTACAGATAGCACAAAGTGTAATAGGTAAAAAGAAAGATTTATTTTATAATAATGCGAACCCCCAGGAAAAAGATGATTTTTTAAAACATCGTCAAAAGTAATGATGAAGTGATTAAGTATTTTTATTATTAATTAAATCTGGTTTAGTTATCGAAGCAGTCATAAAAGCAGTTATGATTTTCATTGTCAACAATAACAATCGAAAACATCAATGATAGCGCGTGATCAGTAGACCCCGTTACCGGAGAGGTGTGATTTGGTAGTTGGACGTTTTAAGAGATGGGTACAAATATGTATGATGCCAATATTGATAATTAGTTTTATAAAAGTATTATTAATTAATTCATTATATTTTTACCAATTCCTAAAAATTTACTGCTAAGAAATTGAATCTCTGGTGAATCTCTCGGGGTCTAGTGAACACACAACACAACCCGACTCAGTACTACTCGCCAGCCAGTATTTATTTGTTATTGGTGTCGAACACAGCTGTCAATAGTCAAGTACGTCACCAAAATGGCGGCTAGGCTTGGTATTAGTATTTTGCGGGAATATATATCTAGAGATATTTTCCAGGTTGAGGGGGAGGGTTCTGCATGATACATAATTTTAGTGTTTTTGTTAGTTAAAATCTTCCTACTCCGAAGCGTGTAGCGTTATTAAACCTTTCGATATTATTCCAACGACCACAAAGATAATGCATTAGCAATGAAAATGTTAGAAGCTGCGCTTATCCGTGTGCGAGGACTTAAATTAGTACTTGTAATGGTCACTATTTCATTAATTTGGCTGTCAAATTTATGACACCACCGTTCTAATTTGATGATTTCAATCATAGAAAATGTCCATATTATTAATCTTAAAATGTGATACAGGTTCCAGATTTATGGATTTTCAACAACTTTCAAACCAAAACTTATCCGCCATCTATCGATAAAGGGAATATATCAACTTTGACCTTCTATTTATGGAATCTGTATTAATCTTTTTATATAACTATTATTAAATAAAATAACCAAATTTATCCCAAACTCATCCAAAAAGTTGAAAAGTGAATGAAGTAACTGAATTCAAGTTTTGATTTGAGTTCAGAATAAAATAAATTTTATTGTATGTACGCTTTGACTTATTTATAAATACAACGTTTACTCTCTCTAGATGCACACACGCAAAATAATATTCAATATCAGATATCATACAATTACCTCACAGCTATTTGAATGTCACTCATTATTGCAGGTTATGGCAAATAGATGTAAAGCATGTTGTAAATTACTGGAAAAATCTCATGAGCAATTCTTTTTAAAAGAATCTACTGTTCTTCCGAAAATATTTGATATCACAATAACCCCAGTTGTCGCAACTGAAAAAAAAACTATAATGAACCAACACTTTCTATTTTTAGTTTAAAGTATAGATATCATCTCTATGATTTGAAGGGACATTAATGATAGATATTTTCAAATTTAGAACATCAATTAGATTGAAGCATTTATTAGCTTAAACTCATCATCAAACGTAAATTGAAGTTTGTGCAAGGAGGTGTATTAGAAGTCGGTACTTACAAGACCTTGTCTTTCCTTTTCTTTTTGTAAAACACTTTGGGTTTGTTTGTCATCAAATTTCACTATTGCTGCTAAGACTTTAGCTAATGTTATGGAATGCGTTCCAGAGCCTGTGAGGTATTCATAAAGAATATTCCGCAAGTACTCCAATTCTGTATTTTCTTGCAATGAATGTAAATGTCTTAAACTCACTAAAGCTTCGTCAAGCCTTCGTTCCAGTTTTTCATTTGTTAGTTTAAGTTTTTCGTTGCTGTTCTGCATTTGTTGCATATTACCATTCATCAACTTATTAATTTGTTCTACATTTAATAACTTCTCTTCTAGTTTACTTTGACTTACTAATAAGTTATTATATTTGTCCATAGTTATAGAATCATTTTCTTTTTTATCAGGCAATATTTTAGGCTCAACATAGTTTTGAGACTGTAATTGATCTTTCAATTCGAGATTTTCTTCAAGTAATAAATTGTTTTCTCTAATTAAATCCTCAATTTTTTCTTTCATAACAACGTCACTCTTTACTGTTTCGAATTCATTGTTTGTACTGTTTGATTCACTTCTTCCGAAAGAACTATCACTTGCAGCTATTGTCTCTCTTAATTTGTCATTTAAAACACAATTTTCCTTTGATATTTTCGTTAAATATGTTTGTAAGCCTTCAATATCAGATCGAAGTCGCCTATTGTCTTCTTTGAGTAGATCGTAACTGTTACACAATGTTCGATATTGTTCTGTAATATTTTCTTCCGCTTTATTATTGTTATCCAATTTAACATTACTATTAATCTCCATTAATTTGTTTGATAAATTAATATTACTATCCTTTAGTACATTAATTTCCTCCATGTATTCTTTATTTTTCGCTGTAAGTATTTCAACAGTACTAATTAAAGATAAACTATCATTACTTTTGAGTTCTTCAGCATTACTTTGTTCTAATGTAGTGGAAGCTTCGTCAAACAAGTTTTCATCATTCTTCGATTTTAAACCGGATTCTTCTGTTTGTGTGTCTTTATTTTCAGAGGATAAGCTTATTGGTTCTTTTTTATTTTGCATGTCTTCTATTAAAGAGTTAAGACGATCTTTTTCAACTTCTATATCGAAATGAGATTTACGAATCTCTTCGATTTCAAGTTCTAAAGATTTAACTCTGTTAGCTATGCTTGTAGATTGGTCTTTTAGAGCTGTATTTTCATGCGAAAGTTCTTGTATCTGTTGTTCTAACTTATTGATTATAATTTCATATTCTACAACTTTTTCATTTATTGATTGTTTTTCTTTATTTAGAACATCAATGCATGCAGCTTCATCTTTGTGTATTACTTTTAATTTCTCAGCTTCAATATTTAATAACTCGTTTTCTTTTTCGAGATTGTTTAATCTCTTATGAAGTGTTTGTTTCTCGTCTTCCAATAGTTTCATTTTATCTAGAGCTATTAAATATTGGCTTTTGTCATGATCTATGCCGTTTTGAAGACGATTACATAATATCTCAACTTCTTGTAGTTTATGAATAAGCTTTTCTTTTTCGTTTCTTAATATGCCCAATTCATCTGTAGAATGTAAAAAGTTGGAAGAAAGGGATTGCACTTCTTCTTCCAATAAAGTTATTTTGGATTCATAATCGCCAATTAACATAGTTAGTTTTCTGTTTTCTTCGGTTAAAGTAGTCATATGTTGAGCGTTATTTTCATGTAAATTTTTTATAGTTTCTAATTCTTTTTTTAGAGCGTTATTCTCTATATCCAAAATATCATATGAGGCTTTAGTATCGTCAGACCCTTCCAAAAAGGAACACAGTTCCACAATTTTAGATTTAATTTCAGGTATAATTACACTATTAAATTCTTCCTTAAAAGGTTTAACAATAACAGATATTGATTTAATATCTTTTTGTATTGTTTTTACTTCATTAATTAGTAGTCGAAATTTCTTTTTAATTAATTCATATTTTTGGCGTAAATATTTGTTTTCAGAGTTTATATCAGATAAAGTATTCTGTAACGCCAAGTTTTTGTTTTGTACTGATTCATGATTTGAAAGAAGTTTTTCAATTTCTCTTTGTAATTTCACCAGTTCCTCTCGTTCTTCTTGTATCTCGCTCTCTAAGTTATTATACTTCGATTTCCATAATTGAACTTCATTGGATTGGATTTCAAAGTTTTTGTCTTTTTCAAACAATTTTTGTAATTCATTTTCTAAGTGATGCACCTGGTTATTTTTTTTCGAATTTTCTTCTGTTAATTGAGTGACGCGATTTTCTAAATAAGCATTTCTGTCTATCATAGCCAATTTTTCTGCAGTTTCTTGATTCATTTGCAATTGAACACATTTTAATTCCTCATCCCCTTTCGATTTTGATTGTTCATATGATTGACATTTTTGAGCTAACAACTGAATTTGACTTTCCATCTCAGATAATTTAGACTTATTTAGATTTAATTCCGTAATTTCTTCGTTCAATTTAATTCGTTCCTTTTCCAAAGCAGCTATACTTGTTTTATAGTCATTGGTGATTATATTTAGGGACTGCAGTTCTTTTTTAGTATCAGACAAGCTTTCTTTTAGAGTCTTGATTTCTGATTCTTTATCTTCTAATTCTTTGTGAATGCTCAGTTTATTTTCTGCTAAGGAGATGGCATATTCTTCTTCTCTTTTACTGAAAATATCTATTTTATTTTGCAGTTGTTTTATTTCTTCTTGATAATTTTGTACTTGTAATTCGAGGGTTGAAATTTCCTTTGTTCTGTTAAAGTCATATGAATTGATTTTATTTTGTAAGTCTTCGTTTATCATATTAAGTTCGTTTATTTTTTGTTGAGCTTCAAATAATTTTGCTGTATCTGCTTTTAGTGCTTCATTTTCTTTCTTTTTGTTGTCAATTTCATTAGATAAGATTTGAAGTTCTGTAGCCATATTAGAATTTTTTTCCTTAATGGACTTAAGTGATTCTTTATATTTATTTACAAGTTGTTCCATTTTTTCGATTTTACTATTCAAAAGTATTCCATTTGAAGACGATTCTAATCCCTGAACAGGGTTTTCAGTGTTTTCTGCTGATAGATCAATAAGTTGGCTGTCATTTTCTCTTTCAGTAGATTCTCTATTTACGGATGTACTGTTATCTTCTTTAGCATTCTGACTCATATTTTGTAATAGTTGTATTTTCATTGAGAGTGCCTCGATTTTCAAACTTTTTTCTTCGATTTCGACGCGTAATGCTTTCTCTAAGTGCGCCTAGGAATAAATAATTTTTGAAAAGGTATATTTTACATTATTATTATTATTAATAATAGCAATTATATTAATATAGACCATACCATACCTTAGCACTTTGCTCAAGTGTGCATTGTTCTCTTAACTCAGAAATCCTACGCAAGGCCTTATCTTGAGTTTCTACAAGTACACTCTGAAAAGCAACATTTGTATAGATAACTTTATCATAACCAGTTATGAATATGATGTTTACAAATTGCAAAATTATTACAGGTACACGAGAATTTGTATAAAAAGAAAAATGCATCAATAACTGATTATGCAATCCATATGACCGTATTGATCTAACTATCTGTACTAGCTATACAGGAATAATTTAAAACCACTGCGAAGATTTTGTGAAAATAAACTTTAGGTCACTTAAACCAACACGTACTTTTTATTTTGATATGTTCTTATACAAAAAATGTTATCGCTTACCAAAGTTAGAGACTTTAAAACTAAATTTATCAATGATATTAATATGTCTAGATACGCAATACATACCAAAAATCTGAAGCTACTAAAACTAAGACGTTTGTCTTAGTTTTTTCGTTTTTCACTTCATTACTCATTCAACTCCCGCCAAGAAAGTACAAAAAAATGCTCCGTAAAAACGAAGAAAAACAGTGGATAAAATATGATTCTCTTTCACAAATACACATAATACGAAAGAATATTAAGTTTCACACTTAAGTCATTAACATTTTTGACAATAAATACAAAATTAAAGCTAGGTTATAAAATAAAAAAATAATAATTTTCACAAATAAAATTTCGACATTTTGTCGACAGTGTTGCCACTGCTATTCACTTTCAATTTTCCCAAGTGTATGGGAGCCTTTTCTTTTTATTTTACGTGGCTATAATTTATCTAAATATCAATTTTATAGTTCAGCTTGAGTATAGGCAACTGCGCTAATTGTGTTGATATTTTTTTTACACACGCACACAGATGCTAATGTGGTTTAATTTTTTCAATGCGTGGAATTCGTTACTTGTCGAGATACAACTTTTGAAAATACGTAAAATTGAACCTTTGTTTGATCTTTTGTTAACTTTAACAAATATTTTTCTCTTAAACACTGACTTTATCGAAAAACAAAGGGATTTATATGCACAGAGCCTACTTTCGTGATTGTTTTTTTTTTTCAAAGATTTTTCAAATAAATTTTCAAAGATACAGTATTTTTCTAATTGATTTTAAACATATATCTACATTATTTGTTCATTCATTCATTCATCATAATGGGTGAATTTTCGAGAGCTGGCAATACAGTATCAATTACCCATTTTTCCGTTCATTCTGTCATTCGCACATATTCTGTCTTTGTTTAATTTAAGGTTTAATCGTAGATATGAGAGAGACAAATATAATAAACCTATTTATATTATATAGTATAAATATTATTTGCAAAGCTACGTCCTGATTTCGGAAAAGTGCTACGCTTTTTGGCGCGTCTGTTGTATGAAATTGCTTCTCTAGTTATTAAACTCATTGAAATTTATGGACACCGCGCGGCGCGCGTCAACTGAGCGCGCGCTCGAAGCCGTAGACTTATTTTGTTAGATTCGAACTAGAATTTATGCCATGATCTGAGGTATTTTGTAAGAGTAATTCCAATTTTCCCTTCAGACTTTTATGGCTAAGGCCATCAAAATGTAGAAAATAGAGAAACACATTAGTCACATAGAAAAGGTAACATAGGTACTTCTGCGTTAAGACGTATTTAAAAAATTGGAATCAACTACGTATTTATAATCATTTTCAATAAAAAATAATGCCCGACTAAATTTTTTTTATAATTTCTTACCATGTACTAATCACTGTATTTTAATATTTGTATTGAAACATAAATTGTCATTTAATTTATATAAAACATTTGTGTCACTTTTCACTTCTCTAACAGCGTTATTAATTTTTATTGTAAAGTCTTCGAGGCTTTGTGCCTCCTCTACATACACCCGGCATTTGATTTCTCCCCATAAGAAACAGTCCCACACGTGTGAACAATGCCTCATCCGTCCACAAGATGTTTACATCGCGGTGATGTAGAAGCCACTCGCATAAGGCTCGACGTGGTACTGGGTCTATGTCATGGAGCTGCTGTACCGTCTGAAAGTGGTACGTATGGAGTCCGGCTGTATTAAGCAGCTTCAATACCGCGGGCTGGCTCACACCAAAGCGACGTGCCGTATCGTGGGTACTGGCTTTGGGATTTCGTTCAAAGAATTCAACAATTGTTTCTTCTAATTAGACCGCCAGGGGAGGTCCGCCAGATCCTCTTGCGTGACTCGGGGTAATGAATTGGCCGTGATCGAGCAGCCTTTGATTGGTTGCTAAAATGGTTCTTGCATAAGGGACCGCGGGCTTACGGATCCCAAAGGCTCGCATACGAAGTATGCTCTCCGTCGCATACATTCCCCGAGCTGCGCTTAAGTTCTCACCACTCAGAAGATAAACTCGTAACATTTCGTAAAACTTACAATTGGTAAATTCTGACATCGTGATCACAAAACACAACACGAAAGGCGCGAACGGCGGGCACTGAGCTTGCGCGGGAACACAAAAGCGCGTGAGGAGCAAGAGGGGACGCTTTCATTTAAAATTTATTTAAAAAAAAATGTGGAAAAATTATGGAAAAGTGTTCTATTACTGATACTGAATCACCAAAAAAAATCTCGCACTGGAAAAAAAATATTCCTGTATAAATTCGAAAGGGCTATCATGATTTCTATAGAAAGTATATATTTTGCAGCTTAGGAAATGCATTATTTCTTTTGTTGTAGATACACAAATTAAGTAATTTTGCCTCACTAAAAATGAATACTAGCAAAAATTATTACACTGACACCAAAAACAATAATATAAATAGATTTTTAGTCTCCATTTATTCCTGAATGAACTTACTCTAGCTTTCCCATTTTCTCTTTCTAAAAGTTTATAATGGCGGGCAAGGTCTGCGTATTGTGTTCTGTATTTAGTATATCTGTCTTGTGTACGGCGATATGCAGCATATAATTGTTCTTTTGTGACACGATCAAGACTTATTGCTCCTGAAGAGATACCTCTTTCTTCCGCCTCACTTGCAGATACTTCCATGTCTGACTAAAATAAGAATAAAAATGCAAATAAGGTTAGTTGTTTTCAAATTATATGTAAAATGATTTTGGTGACATTTTCATTTCCTTTCTTCCCTATGCAAGAAAAAAAAACAGACATGACTGTTCCCATCTCCTCCCTAAATCATCTTAATAATAAACTGAAGGCCCCATATGTTTAACAGCACCGGTCAAATAAAATAGTACGAACCTGTAAGTGGTACATGGATGGGCTTTCATAACTGGGAAGTCGAAATGACACATCACTTGCCATTGAACTATTAGAAATACGCCTTTGCATTTGATTGTCCTGTAATATTTATACACAGTTGTTAAATAATCTTGATGAAAAATGCTTAAAAAATTTGCTTTGTCCCTGACACTGAATCCATGACTTTTCGCAATCCGGGCGACTGCGGTTCAGTATAGCAGTGTGAATGAAAAATTAATCAAACAGAATAATTAAAAGTTAATATTTTGATAGCTAGGTCAATATTATTGAGTGATGTGTTAAAAGTTGAATTATCATTTAGATATCTCACCATTATCTGCTGATTAGACACGAAGTCTCCTGTTTCTGATTCACTATGAGCAGCTGACTGTGGAAGAGACACTTCATGGAAAGAACTTAGTTGATTGTTCACTGTTACTGGTTTAACTGTTCCACTCGACTGACTATCTGCAAAATTATAGAAATTATCTTATAGGAGGGTGTGTATAACGTCAGTTATGAATTGCATTTTTAAAAGCTGTAGAAAACTCATTTTCTTTGTAATAATTATAATATTAACTAAAATAAACAACATAAAGAAAATTATCAAAGGATATAAATATTGAAATAAAAAAGTAACAAAAATCTTTCTCTAATACAAGGTGGAACAAATATAATACATAAAAGAAACCCATAAAAGTAAAAACCATAATACATAAAAGGCATTGCAGTTCCTGATTACCTAATTATCGATTTAAAAATCGTCAATAAAATGATTAATTTATGTAACAATTCTAAAACATAACTGAAGTTGGTTTTTTTCTATTCATTTCATCAAACCGTAAGAGCTCATTGAACTCCAGCCGTACAGCAGATACTCGTTTTGCGTAGGTACCTACAAGCGAGCCAGGACGAATGAAATCTAGCTTTGCACCACAGAACAGAGAAAGACGTTACAAAGGGCCTTGCGAGCGTGGCAGTGTAGCCACGATCCTGCACCAATGTACAGGATCGTGACTTTACCACGCGATCGCGCATTGTAAGTACTGTGAAACACGCCACAAAAAGTGTTAAAAATGCCGGCTTGTGCGTTTATTAATTGCAAAGAAATGCAAGAAGCCAATCTTCAAGTAGGTCCAAAGGAAGGATTTCTTTTTATAGTAAGTAGAACACTTCTCAAATTTAATTTTTAGTCTTTTATTTTTAGTCGAAATTCGTGAAATGTTATCAAAAGTGTAAATCACATAAAAAAAAAACAAGAAAATATACATTGCTGGAGAAGTACGCATATTAATTACATGGCGTCGTACTAAGCACGTAACTAACAATGACAAAAACATCGCGAAATCATCGTTCTAAATAGTAACATAATAGATTACTTTTGAGCAATTTCGAGCAACGATACTGCTCACAAAGGCATCGCAATTCTTGATTACTTACTTAGATAGCTATTCAAACTTTAAACTAAAAATTATTTTTTCATCAATTCGTAAGGGGTCATTGAACTCCAGCCGTACAGTCGATACGGTCGCGTGGTGCGTAGGTACTAACCGAGCATACCACACCACGACTGAATTAAATAAACCTTAGCGTCCATTAAAATTGTCATTGTTAGTTTATAAAGACATTATCGATACAAATTTAAAACATTCATAGAGCTTGAAATCGTTATTATGCATAAAGAACCTTTATGCTATTGAGTGTTGAAGTGCCCAATTTGTTGCATGAACGTGATCAGATGACAGAATTAAGTTTTGAATGAATTTAACTAAGAGCTATCCTATGCTCTTTGTTGGTCCAGGATTTGTTTTCAACACGACAACGATACTAAACACACGTCGAAAGTATGCCAGGAGTTTTAAAAAGGAAAAGAAAAATAAAATGTAATGAAACTCATGATTCATTTACTAAGTTTTAAAAATTGTAAGTGATGTAATGCTCATTCTTGTTCGATTTATTGTTGTTACCATAGATAACACCTATGTTTTTTGCTACTCTTTGTTGTTGTCTCTAAATGATGGCAAAATGAAAGGATTTTTCTAGTTAAAACTGTATTATGTATAACATCTCTAATAATGTTAATATTAGGGTGGATTGAAAAGTTCGCGGCCTCAGCAAGAAAACAATATAAAATATAAGCAAAAGTAATTATATTTTTCCACGTAATCTCCACTTAACTCTATGTAC